GGGTATAGAGCAGTAAAAGAGGGTATAAACATTGTCGTTAAATAACCCACTCTTTCCGTTTTCATAGAAAATTATTTATGTAGTAACATAGTAATGAGTTCGCCTTGTCAATATTTATCTATTTTAGAGACTCTTAAAACAGTCTCTTATACAGCTTTGCAACACCTTTTCAGTGCCTCATTCGAATTCAATTTCACATTTCGCCATATGAATGCAAGTAAGGATCAGTAGATACTGCCGAGGATAATTCTATGTCTTCGGGGGGTTTTTGGGCAAAGAGACCAACGAGAAATGAGACGTTTTGACAGAGAATTCATGGGTATTTAGTTGCAATAAATCACAAAAACCGCCATTTATTATTCATCCTTGTATTTTCCTCGAAAATTTATACTTTTCCTTCGTGCATTCCGTGCACAAGGAGAGCGAGACAAAGGAGAGTTTTTCTGTATTAATTTTCATGTCTAAATAACTGAAATTTTTATTACGCTCTGTCTCGATTGCGAGTATTATATTATGAAAATGTTCTCAGCCAAGGGAATAAATTAGCACTAAATCTCTCAATGTATTATTTGTATAATATTCACATAAAAATTGTTAATAAATCAATTGAGCGTGTTTTCAATTTGCAATTCCCTTTTTCCCTCCCTATCATCATAAATACATCAATGATTGGGAGAAAATTCGCCTTCTTTCCATTTGCTGCACGTTTCGTGAGATATTTCTTCAGTTCTGGCGTGATTGATCTCTGACTGGCTTTTTGTGCGAATCCGCTCCGAAAAATTTCGGCTTTTCACCGCATCTCGTCCACGAACGAGAAATGCGCCGGAGTGTAAAGTGCAAGGAGAAGAAAATGGATGGAAAGAGTGTGGAAAAATGCCAACATGTGATTTTGTCGGTAAAACGAGCCTCACAATTGCTTCATGAGTGATGTTGGTAAAACATGGCATTCCGCTTCGCGTCGCTCCTCCGCCTCGCGTCAATATCGCATTTGCTAATAATGTTATTACCTGTATAGCGTCGGCTAAGATGATTGGTACTTGTTGGATGATCAAATTACTCCTGTAAACGACTGTGTTCGCCTCACACAGCCACACAGAGTCTCAATCTGAAATTGAATAACGCGCGCTTTCTCGAGTCTGGGCGCGAAGTAAAAACCTGCAACCATGGCAGACACACAAAATTCCCGCGGCAGAAAATGGCTTTTGTTGTTTCACCTCAATCTCCGCAAATATGAGCGAATTTGCGGTGAGACAATTAAAAGATATCCACTCTTGAGGGGAAATCTTGTGGCTTTTTCCATCGACACGTGTGAGGAAAAGACGCTTTAGGGGCTTTAGGAGTGTCTAAACTCTCTTGTACGTATAACGACGTTTAAATAATTCTTAATACATGGCAAGAACTTAATTAGTTGAATAAGATCTACTGTAATTATGACTTATACCTTGGTTCTTAGTATTATTTTGAATGAAAATGTTTGTTTTTGTAATGTATTTTTCGGTTTTTGACTTGAAATTAAGCTAGAAAACAATTTAAAAATTCTCTTAAGTCTATGAAGAAAGACGTAAATCAATATTAAAACATCGCTAACCTAATCAAGTGAATTTGAGTGACACATTCAGAGAACGGAGTTAAATAAAAATATTGATGAAGTTCGCCGACAGAATTTGGTGATTTGCTCACTCGTCAAAGGATTAGCGCACAACTATGGGAAAAGTCCCTTCAACCGGAAGTTTGTGATGCAACATTATTGTTCACTTTCCATGGCAGATGCATCACTCCCCAGAACCCACATCCTCACGTCCTTTTGTGCGGCTCAACAGCCTAAAGTTAATCCCATTCACGTCACTAATTGTGTGTTCTGCGATCTCTGGCTGTGTTCAATGGACCTCCGAGCATATCGATGATATTTTCATCATTTTATTGCAGAAAAGAAGGCCGGCAAGAAGCTGCATTCATCGCGTGATGAATTCTTTTCTCTAACTAGATATATTTATGTTTGCTTTGCAATCAATGGCGTGGCCTCTGATTCTCTCGGATTGTTGTTGTGACCTCAAAAAGATCATTTGGGACCCTTTTCTCCGTTCCTCTTTTTTCGCAATCGTTTCGGCCATGAGAAAAAGTCAGCCAAAAGGCACACGCAACAAAGGGACATTTTATCTAAGCTCAGTTGTGGCTTTATTGAAGATAAGAGAAAAAGAGTGTCCTAGAGTTGATTTGTGCGAAAGTGAAATATGACCGAAGGTGTAGCGTTTGATGTTTCTGCGCCAAAAGACCGTCTTTTTTATCCGGCTTGTGAGAAAAAAAAAGTCAAAATGTTTTGACTTTCAAATCTTCCTTGAATACAGTTGCCGCCAAATGACGTTTTTTCTTCTGCCATGCTTGCCCGATCGGTGTTGCCCACAAGAAATCACCCTCGAGAGTTCTCGTGTTGTGTGAAATGGAAACGGCAAGAGAATCAACGTGGGTGGCCCCATTTGGAGGATGCTGAAGCTGTGTTGTGTGTTGCAAGATAAAGCGGATCAGAAATTGTTACCTTTTATTGCGGTGGTTACAAAACGACACAACAAATCTCCCTTTTTTGCTCCTCTGCGTCCCTCATTCACTCCACCAGGTTTGTCACTGTGTCGTGCCTTGCTCTCTCGCCTTGACGTCTTTGCTGGCCGCACAATTGATTTGAGGGTGTCACAAATTATTGTTTGGTAAACTTTTACCGAATTGACAACAGTGCACCGCAGGGATGCACCATTTAGTGGAGGAGATGCGACAAAATAAGGACACTTTAAAGGACGCCGCCTTTCCCTATCGGAGAGCCTCAGGTCGGGGCCCTTCTTGTCGCCCCGGCACATAACAAATTACTCTTGAGATATTGACAGCATTTTCCCATATTCCTGCAGGAGTGATTTAACATTTCCCGCCGAGGAATGCCAAGGATGATCAATCTCGAAAGCTCGCATTTCACCTAAAAATACCCACAGTTTAATGATCAGTTCGACTTCACTCAGTGACTGTGCATTAAATTTAACCATTTGCGAGGAAATTGGCAATAAATAAATTTTACTCCTTTGCATGTCAACAACTTTCGACCACAGACAACAAGTAAAAAATATTAAAACACTCTTTACTCACTGACCACCTGATAAGCCTTCGAAGAAATCGGTAAAATTCCATATAAAAATATGGCAGAGGCACATTATGACGCGCTTATTTATGCGGAAAGTGAGAAAATTTAATATGTAATTTACACATTTACCGACGCGCGAGAAAAAGTGATCCAAAGTAAAGATCTCTCTTGTATCTTCACATGCTAATTAATTGATCGTGTCTTTTTTGGGCGCAATTTAGCACCAGAAAAATTACCCACTTGCGAAATGGCCAGAAACCATCAGCACGCCGAAATCCAATGGTTATTGACAATTTTGGGAAGTCTATCGCGATTTTTGGATCTCGCGCGACTCAAAGGAATGACGATGGCGATGCGGAGCGCAAAAGTGATTTTTTCCCCAGATACACACGCTGCACGGCATTGTGAAAAAGAAACCGCGCGCGCATAAATAAAGCTGTCGGGCATCTTCGCATGGCTCATTGGGGAATTGAGATGAGTAGCAATTGACGCATTTCCAGCACCTTGTTCTACAAATCTCACACACAAACTCACTGCTTTCAGGGGAGAGAGACCGCGGAAAAAATGCTATATCCACTTAACACTGAACGCCAACGTCTTTCATGGTGCGTCGGCAAGCAAAACACCTCAATTGAAATTGTAAAATAATACAGAAAATACCACACGAGAGCAACCAATGGAGGCACATTCATGGCACCGATGATATAAAAGTTTATGGTTGTAAATTGATGATATTGCATTTGTTGAGTGTCGCCGACACTCTGAGAAATAATGCAGGCAATTTCCACACTCTTCGTCATTCCACACTATCAATTTTTATCATTATGCTCCAGTGGAAATTCCAACCATCCAGCCCATAAATAATCCATTTTACTCCACACACAGAGACCACTAACTATAAGTCACTCCTCGCGGCCCTGGAGATGCCGGGACAAAAGCTATGTTAGTGCCCAAAGATGTGGGAAAGCTGGAGTTGGTCGAATAAATTTCTATTAATCTACAATTATTTACTTTTTTTCAATTGCTAAACCAGAACAAAATGCGATACACAACCGCCACATTTACAGATTGCGGCGCCTATTCTGAGCCCAGAAATCACTTCAGATGCTCCGCCCACTCGCAAACTCCGCCGAGAAGAAGAGTTTTGTATTAGGCAGCAAAATAGTATCAAGAAGTGAATTAGGAAACAAAAATACACCGCGTCTTGTGATATACCTGAAAATATATCGCTAAACATCCTCCTAAAGGCGACAAATACCGTTTCATTGCAGATTTCTGGCCACGTCTTCAAATGGGAAAGGTTAAATTACTGAATATTCCCTCGCCCTCTACAAAATGCTGATAACAAATGGCCATAATTTCCCAGAAGTTCCACTGCTCCAATTTCCGCCGAGTCTAAATCAAACAGAAATAGCCACTTATAAATTAAATCTAGAGAAATTTCTTGGATAGCCTTCTAATGCGACATTTCACCACAAGCCCAGAGTCATGCAAGGCAAATAATTTACTAACTTTCCAAGCTCTGGGATCGCATTACCTTCCAATTGGGGATTATTTATGGGGCAACTTTGTCAATATTTAACGATTTTCTCCGTCTCGCCCAGGTGAATTTGTCTTGTTAATTGGAAGGGTTCCTCTCTCGGGTGCTCTCTTCACTGGTGCAAGATTGAAAACCGCAAATTACTTGTTTGTTTTACACCCCGTAACACCACTAATAGAACACAGTCGATGCTTAATAGCTGACATGCCTATTATCCAGGGCTGTAAAATATGCTTTCACTCCGTGCGAAATGAATAATAAATCTCATATTGAATAAATGTGACAAATTGACGGTTTGGGATATTCATTAAAAGGGGGTTCTAAAGTCAAATGCGCCATTCTGAAATTTTCAATCTTTATTACATAATTAACTCTCTCTCTCTCTCCTCACTTCGCTTGTCAGTTAAATTAGCTCAGAGTCTCAAAAGAAGACTCGTAATTCTAATTGTTTTATATGTATTCCTTCTTGTTCTAAATCTCATTTTATATTCCTCCTACGAGAATTTTCTTCTTAAACATTAATTCAATTTATGTATCAAAGGAAATTCAATGAAGAAATTTTCTACTCTTTCAGCTTTTTCTGTTCTCCCACATTTCCGTTCACTAAATAATTTAATAAAAACTACTTTACATGAGAATATCCTGTTTCCTGGTGGCAATTTTCTGTCATTCACTAGTCTATATACTGAAGTTTTATCCTTTATTCTGTCTTCTTAATGTTCATAAAATTGGTTTTTTTTTCCTTTCCTCCAAATAACAAACAAGACACAACACTGATACACCGAAAATATCGATTTCTTCTTTTGAGAAAGAAAGTAATTGAATATTTGAATTGTTTTTCATTTACTTTCAATGTTTTTCTCTACAATATTCATGTCTTTTTGTCCATTTTCCCATTTCTAGGGATTTAATTTAGCTGTCTCTCACCATTTCGAGGACTCCTCCAATAGTTTGTCTTGTGTCTGAATTATTCAGAGAAAACAGGCCGAAAGTTGCCTTAATGAGTCTGGACAATTGAAACTCTTCAACTTCAACGAATTCAACCCACACTCATCCTCAATTAAGTACTTTCAATACTAATTTGTCAATCATTTTGTCGATGATTCACGTGATTTTATGGTTTGATTAAAAATTAACATTCTCAATCGTATGGACAAAAATAAATAATTGCCTTCAAAATGCATGTACGGAAGATGATTTCTCTATCAAAAATACATTGATATTCCATTTCACATCTCAATTAAATTATCCAAAAAAATACTATCAAAAAGAATTCATGGTTTCCTCACTTAATAAAAAAAATCGCGACGCTTCTTTTAAGTATATATAAATAAAAAAAATATCATTAAGTTACTCACATGGAGTGCGAAATATTGCGCCATCATACATTCTTATCAATCAACTCCTTCCATCGAAACTCAAAGAATTTTCGCATGCCGTGACCGGCCTTGCCCACTGGCGAGTCGTCCTCGTTGAACACTTCGCAATTATTGAAGATCTGCCGCACATCAGTCACAAACTCATCTCGACATTTGTACCTTGAAAGACCAGAGAGAACACACAAAGTTGACGACATTTCCAATACCTCAACTTTCTTCACTCTATTCGCATGCATAAGAAACATTATTTTTCCGCGCAGAAACTTACGCCATGTCCTGAACTTTCTTCTTGATTGTCGACAAATCAATGGGATATTTGATGATTTTCTTGTACGTTGGAAATTGCTTCGTGTTGACCGGCAACAAGAAAGGCCAAGCGTCCTCATGGAGCTTCACGAGATGGAGTAAAAGATGTGCGAAAATGATCAATAAAAGTTTCTTCTTTGTGAGACAAACGGAAGGATTGAACGTCAGTTGAACAGAAAACAAGTCGGAAATCAAAAAATGTCTGACAGACACAGTGTGAAAGAAAGATCTTGTTCGTTGAATGGTAGAAGAAAGTTAGGAAATGCTGGGAAGCAAATTAATTAGCATCAAGACAAACAACTTCTTTACCTCCATTTCGTCGAGGATCGTCTTGCAAAGACCCATATCTTTGATCAGTTTCTTGGACACCTTCTCCTTCTTCTCCTCCTTGGGCTTCTCTCGCACTTCCTGGACATTGGACGCCGATGTGGTTGGCATCACGAAGTTCTCGTCCAGGCTGGACTCGCAGGCGTCGCTGACGGACGCCGAAGTGTCCACCGTGGACGTGTTTCCCCCATAAGACGTCGCCTTATTGGCCGATGACGAAGACTGTGTGAGCTGGCTAGCGTCGTCCGTGGACGCCGTCCGGCCAATGCTGCCACTCGAGGAGGACGACGAGGAGGTCTTCGACGAGGACTCCTCCATGGAAGAATTCCCCTGGCTGCTGTTGAAGGACTTGTTCTTCCGCACGCGCTTCTTCGACGGCGGCGCCTTCGCGATGCACCCATGGCAGTACCACTTGTTCCGCGGCACCTTCATCAGTGGCGGAATATAGCAGTCATGGTGATAGGCGCGCGGACAGAGCTCGCAGTAGATCATCTTCCCAACCGGCGCCGGCCTCAGTCCGCCGCACACGATGCACTTCCTCTCGCCAGTCGCCTTGTTCACGCACTCGTAGCAATACCAGTCGCCCTCCGGAATCTTTTCCATGCGCGGCTTGAAGCAGTACGTGTGAAATCCCTTGTCACAGCCGTCGCACAGTAGCAGCTTGTCCTCATTTTCGCCAGAGTGGCAAAATTGGCAATTCTGCACGACCGGAAAAAAGAAGCACAACAAGAGAGACAAGCCAGTTAATTATTGCTATCGATATTTTGTCGCCACGACGTGCCTTTAGCCCGTAATTTCAATCTTACACAAAATACTTCATTTTCCCCTTTTTCACCCCGTGGCAACACGTTAAGATTACATCGTGATCACCACCTTATTTGTTCACGAAGAATTTCAGAGGTCACCAAGTGATCTGCATCTGTTCTGTTAAATGCGACTGAATAACTGGCAAGGATCAATTTAAGAGAAATGCAAAACACATGATGATTGAAGTTTCCAAATGTGATTAAAGCTTTTAAGTATCTTCTCTTTTTATTATTCACGACTTATGATTATTTAGTCAAAGGAATAAACTTTTGGTGTCTATGTAATTCGTGTGATTTTATTAAATATTCACACCCTATTTTACCATGACAAAAATTGAGAACTTTTATCACACAGCTCACATTTGCTCACGAGATTATTCGTGTGCGCATTTGCATTTTAAGTTAAGTCAAGTCTTCCTTTTCATCCAAATGTCCTCCACTCTCCACATCGATTCCCAATCAATACCACTTGAGAACAATGTAGCTCTTTAATTAATGAATAATTTACACACTTTTTCGGCATAACTTCAATTTCTTATTACTGATTTTATTGCACTTTTATTTATTCCAATAAAAAATCTCAATCTCGCAATACTTGATAAAATTGTTAATGCCAAAAACCAACCACAGACAATAATTTTACGAAATCAGGCAATTTAAATGCACTTACAAATTGGTCGATTTGCGCAAGATATTGAGGAATAAATTTAATAAAATCCACAATTTTTGGAAGCACTTTAGCGATATCAGAAAAATGCTTATTGAAGCTTCAATTAAACTGATAATTCTTTTGCACTTCACTCTGTTTGCGGTTAAGAATTTTATTTATACGCATGTTAGAAAGTCGCAAAGGCCCAATAAATCTTTCAAATAATCCCGTCAAATGAGACTCAATTAAAAGTAAATTAAAAAGATTTATTGAGTTGGGGAAAAGTCATGACTTTCACGGTGCAATTAAAACTGCACTGAATTTTTCTTCACACACCTCACGCAAATCGTGAAAAGAACTGCGTGTCTTGCAATTTCTATAATTGCCATGTTGAAAAATTCGAATCTCACCCTACAAAGTGCCCTTTTCTGCCGTCCATTCACCGTCAAAGTGTAATTACAAATGGTCAGCTTTTAGCCATTTGCACTGAACTCTTTTTTCCTGCTTACGGGCAGAGGTGTAAAAAATCAATCGATTAACGAAGTGTTGAGGCCAATTTTATGTCCCAGAATTCATCGTCAAAAAGTCTGCACTAAACAATAAAGATGTCATATTTTACTCCGCATTTGCAAAATAAGGTACTTTTTCACATAAATTTCAGTCAATTTATGACTTTAATTACAAGAAATTTTCATCGAAACGCAACAGAGTAAAAACACCAATTTTAGGCATTAATTTGCAATTCAATATTGATTTTTGTCATACATGCAGAATGACCAGGAGTTTCCAGTTTATATATTATAATGATTTATCATCGAAAAAGAGGTGAAAATTCATCGCTACTGTTAAGAGAGCTCGCGCTCGATCGCAGGCAGAATATCAATTTAAGGCAATGCCGCATTCAGCAATTTAAAAAATATTTTTCAACATTCAATTTCCAATTAACTTTTATTGATAATAAAAAAAAATCGTTGCATCAATAGACCTCTCGAGATGTCGGGATTTTGGGTCAAATTCAAATAAAACCATTTTGGTGGCAAAATTGTGCCTATAGAGATTAATTTTTCATTTCAAGTCATTAAATTGCCATTAAAAGTAACCCATAAACGCCAAATCAATTATTTCGGCTTTTAATATCACTTATGCTCGCCACACAACATCGACTTAAACCTCATGGGAAAATACTTCGCGAAATGGCAAGAAAATATTGTGTGAAAAAGTCACATTCTTCTTGTTTCATAAATTATAAAAAAACTTGCACACTTGACAGTGTTGTGCAACATGAAAATATCAACTTATTGCGCGAATAATTCTATATTAAAATTGTTTATGACTTTTAAATGATAATTTCAATATAAACACATTAACCACAATTAGTGTGAGGTGCGCACATAATATTTAATGTTCATGCGCCTTTGATTGCATTAGATCCGGCCAATTAAGGCGTCGTAATTATTCAATTTTAACCCACTAAACAAGATATTGAGGAAAAGCACATCATGCAGTCAGTGTGCTTTTGAGAAATCAATATATATATGTAGCATGTATTAAAAATGAATAAAACAAATTACTCATGGGCAAGAAAGAAGGGCAAAAAACATATCAATTAAAATCCAGTACAAGTTGCAGATAAATGGGGAATATTTGCACATTAATTGAGTGGAAAACGAGGCGATTTTTATCAATTAATTAAAGAAGCGACCAGAGAGACATTCCAATTCTGCAAAATGCATTGAGTCTTTGTGCGCGTTGGCCCATGAAAAATCCCTCAGGAAATCAATAAAATGAAGAAATACCATAATTTTGTCATGTTTTTCACCTCTCTTCCTCACACACATCCATCCTTTTTGGCAAACGATTTCATTTGCCACGACGCTTTTTAAATTGAAATTGCAAAAGGCGAGGTGCAATTTATGAAAATGAACATTTTCACATGTTTCACCTCAGTCGCATTTCGCACTCACCAGTGTTTTTGCACCCTTTTCTCCGAGGCCTCATATTTATTCATTTTGCCGTCTGTCAATTTATCAGACGACACTCACTTTTTTCCCTTACCGCCATGGACAAAAGCTCCCCATGCACACAAGGCAAATTGAGGGGCAAACGAGCCATTTTTAAGGGTAGAGAGAGCGAGAGAGTAAAAAACACGTCTCATTTTTACTTACCGCCTTCATTATGCTCTTGTCCCATGCGACGCACGACTCCAGGACGTACAACGTCATTGCCAATTGAGCTGTCGTCTTTGAGCGGCAAACGGCTTCACGCCACGAAACTAATCCTGTAGGTGAAATAAATAACATGACAAAGAATTGCACACTTTCCATTTGCCCATTATCCTCTTGCATGCACTTCTTCTTCACTCTACGCTCGTCCAAGGACATCAGCGATGGAGAAAACACCGCTCTTGAAGATCCTTGGACGTTTGAAATCAACAAGACTGAATGCATTTTAAATCAATAGAATGTAGAAACATTAACAAGCATTTTCGATAATGGTTTTTAGAAATATTACATTTTGTGTGATCTAATTTTAAAAACACGCCGCAAAGAGAACGCAGAGTGTTGAGCAAATGATCGACTTTACTTGATAAGTCCAATTCATCATCATAGATTAGAAAATCACAATAATGCAAGGTATTTTACGTAACTCATCCCTTTTAGAAACTTTTTTTCCTACTTAGCCCAGTTAAATATCAGAATTTAAGTGTCGTCTCGAATAAAACTCACCTTTCGACAAAGTCTCCATCTCTTGATTATCCTTCGGCGACGCTGAAGGATTGGAGGAGTTCTGTGTCTGACTTGTCGTTGTCTCTTGTCCTGTTTGAGCCAGCGCCGCCAGATGCGCGTCCGCTGTGCAATTCCCGAGCGGTGGCTTCAGATATCGCCTCTCAATGGCCGACTCGAGACCCAAGATTCTCTCCTTGAGATGCCCAATTGACTGCTCAAAATCCTCCATGTCGTCAGTCTTCGTCGGCAGCATCCACCCTTTGATCTGCATCGATGCACTGGCCACCTTGTCCTCCAGTCCCTCCACCTGATCCAGCAGCGCCCTGATCACGCGCTCGCACACGTGTGGATTGTACGCAGGCACCGTGGCGGGATCCACAAACTCCCCCTCGACCTCGATGTCCGTGGTAAGTTGGCATTCAGAGACGTAGTTGGGCTTCTCCCTGAGGCACTGCATCAGATTCTGTCGCAGTTCCATCTCGCGCACGCCACGCACGTGCATCACTTCTAGGATCTCATCAATCTGAGCCTCATCTGTGATCCTCCACCAGCCATGACGAAGCTCACGTGGTACAAAATTCTGCTCCAACTTGCGCGGAAAGCCCACCTCCTTCACCTCCTCCAATTGCTTCTGCTCTTCCAGGCTCATCTGCAGCGGCGTTGGGCTGTCGCACTGGATGTATGCACTCAAATTGGCCAGCGAAAAGTTTGTGACTTGCGAATGGAAGCCATTGAGATCCTCACACTTACCCAAGCCCTGCTTCCTCTCCAGAATCTCACAGTCAAGATCATCCGCCAGATCATCCGTGCATCGATTGAGTGTGCGTTCAATCTCACGATCACTGATCCCAGAGAACGTGAGGACGGATTCATTGGTGAAATTGAGATCTGCTAAGATCGAGGAGTCCGTGTGGATGTTGTAGAAGTGGATGTTATTACTGATGTCCCAGGGATTTCCCTGGCACTGCACAATACCCTCGCACGACACGTTCATGTAGGCCAGGTGGGCTTGCAACGAAATAGAACACTCAGACTCCAATGGCAATGGTTTCTTCAGAATAGAGAACCACTTCTCCAACAGCGGTACATCGCCATTCTTCATGCATCCATTTGTCTCCGTACACGATTCCTCCTTGTGAGCTTTCGCGTCACAGTCGCAAGCGATGAACATCTTATCATCCTTGAACTCCTTGCACGGCGGAGGCTCCTCAGCTGTCTCCTCTTTAACCTCCACTTTCACTTCCTCCTGCTTATCCTCTACCGGTGATACCACCGGAGTCAATACAGGAGCAGACTTCACGTCATCTTCGCCCAATTTCTCCACATTCTTCTGTAGAATGGCGTTCGTTGGAATCGAGTCCTCAATATCCATCATCTCATCATCATTATTGGCCGCTGGATTCACAAGGGGTTCCCTCTTGATGCAGTCCCCTTTCTCAGACTTCACCTCGGGCTTCTCATCTTCATCCTCCTCTTCCTCTTCCTCCTCCTCCTCCTCCTCCTCCTCATGACTTTTCTCCTCATCCTCATCGTCCATCTCCTCCTCTTCATCACCATCAGACGTCCTGTTTGTCGATCCCTCCAGAAACTCATGATACTTCATAATCTCCGGCTGGCAAGACTCCATGCCCTCAATGAAAATTCCCCCAGACTTGGGCAGATCCCAGTATCTTCTCCAGAATCTATCCTGACCATAGCAAGTGGCCCTCAAGCGCCTCAGATTCGTCTTCAACGTCTCACGCGTCACTTGCGAAGACTTTATGACCTTCTCAAGCTTCTTCTGAACTTCATCCACGTTCAGCTTCTCATCCTCATCCTCTTCCAGTGGCAATTCCTCCTCCAGATCACTAATGTCGTCATCCAAACAGTGATCAGTCTCATTCAATTCCCTGATCTTTCCGGAGAAATTTATGGAAGTGTTGCAATCTGTGTCTGTGTCATTAAATTCATGCTGCTTCACCTTCTCCTCCTCTGGGCCATTCTTCTTCTCCTGCTGACCCTCTTCCTGGGCAAACTTCGTGGCATCACTGCTGTGCGCTGAGTCCTCCTTTGCCTCCATCGCCTCAGCAGCCGGTGGGGGTTTCTCAAATTCCGCCTCTTCAGGGGACGCCTGTTCCTCCACAGCATTTTCAGGCTGCTTCTGTGGCTGCTGATCCTCCACTACTGGCTCCACAGACGCCTCCCGATTCAGCATGGCCGTGATCATATTCAACCTCACCTTCCTGGCATGCAGACTCTTGTACTTTCTCAACTTGATGTCAATCAAATACCGATCACGACGCATCGCGGACGCCGTCTCCAGACTACCGTCAATCTGCTTCAACACCGCCTTGTTCATCAGCAGATCATTACACAGATGGGCGAGGATTTGGGCCTTTGTCACGGGACTCAGCGCCACAAATGGCTTCTCCCTCAAGCACTCAGACAACTTCCACGTGCTGTTCTCATGCAGATGCTCATAATACTGAATATTCTTCCCTGTGGTGCTCGTGATGGCCATATCCGACGTGGTTTGGTGATGATCAGCGATTCTCTTCTCGCGATCCCGCTCGAAATTCACCCCCGTCAGTTGCTTCACTTCACCCGTGGCGGCGGCATAGAGGTAAATCCTCAGAATCTCCGACACATTGGCATTCGTGATGTCCGCTTGACGCAGCGACTGGCCAAGAAGTGTTGTATGACGTCCAGGATTGGGAATTCCAGGATCCTCGATGGCACACACGAGCAAGTGTGTGATCACAGACAGAAGCTCCTCCTCCGCCTCACCGCCATTGTCCGATACCAGAGCAAAGTGTAGCGACTGGAGCGTTGGCAGGGATTCCATATCGAAGCCCAGTGTCTCTCCAAAGTTGTGCAAGAACTCATACACCATCAGAAGATCAGCAAATGCCTCGCCAGACACCGATAAATTGGGAATCCTCGCGAATTTCGGCAACTCCTGACCGCCAGCAATCTCAGAGTCCTCTTGGGGCTTCCTCAGCTCTCCCAGAATCTCCGAATCCCTCTTCTTGGCCGCCAGTTTCTTCTCTCGCATGATAAACTTATCCAACACCATCTGCAAAGATTGATAGGAAACATTATTATTATTAGACAGTCAATTTGCCAATTTGTCAGAATTACATAAATCATTTGGGGTCACGCGCCTTTTGATGATCATCTTTGATCTTATACTGCCGATCATCATTGAGAAATTGATCAATTTATACTCAGAAGTGCGCTATTGCGCGCAAAATCATCCCAGCAAATTTACACTGAGAGTGTTCTTTAGCAATTGCTTTGCACTTGTCAGAGTTGAAGTGTTATGAATAAGAGAAAAGACAACTATATTTGTTTAAAAGCATAAAAAAAACATTATGACTTCACATACTGCAGAAAGTTTGGCTTTATCGAGGACATAAAATTTATTTCCCTACAAAGAAATGATCTATCATCTAGAATACTTTCAATTCTAATTCTACTAATTGCAATTCTTGTGTAAATATGTATTGATCGAAATTTTATGGGAGTTAAACATTGAGAACAAATCACAGCAAAATCCCTTCAATTCTGCACAAAGAATACTGTGTTTGCTTGGGAAAGCAACAAGAGGTGCGAATAGAATGAACAAGCAACAGTGATCATCTCTAATGGGAATATCAGGCATTAATTACCTGATGTTTCTTCCTCTCCCTCTCCTCGTACTTGCGTCGGATCTCGAGCAACTTCACCAATCCACTGTGATGTCTCCTCCGCTCCTTTTCTAATTCCCTCTCGGACGCCTTCTGCTTCTTTAGCTCCTTCTCCTGCATCTTGCGCAGCATCTCCTCATTCTTCTGTCGATCACTTTCCTCGCGCTTCCTCCTCGCCATCTCCGTGCCCTGCTGATTGCGTATTTGGCGCTCTTGACGCTGTGTCTCCGATTTATCTTGTTTCTCATGTTCCTTCAGCTGACGTGCCTCCATGCAAAAAAGAGAACCGAATAGCGTCGCAGAAGGTGGGACAAAAAGAAATTGTGAATATCGTGGGGGATTCAATTAGTTGACTACCACAAAACTCACCTTCTCTCGCTTGGCATTCTCCTCCTTAACGATCTTCTTGACATCCCGGAGTGCCTGCTGCTGTCGCGCAATCTCAATCCTCTGCTCCACGCCCAATTGTGTGTGACGCGTGTACATCTTGAGCTCCTCGAGACGCTTCATCACGTCCACATCCGTCATCCTGATGAGATCCTCCTCGCGCGTGACGGGCGTCGATGTGAGCGGTGCCTGGAGGAATGTCCCCAGAATGGCGCGCGTTGAGAAGCTAAAGTTGTCCTTGGACAGCACTGGATACTGCTTCTCAATCACAATCTCCACATCCTCCATTGTCTTGAGCTTCAGCTGACTCTTGGGCGGCATATAGATCACATCGCCAATGATCTGGCCAGTCTTTGTCAGGCCTCTAATCACCGTCTCGCGCCTCCAGCCCTGATTCAACGGCACCAGCAACTCCTCCAGGTTGATCGTCTCCTCCGTCTCAGACTCCGACTGGCCACCGTAGTCCGTCACCACGCTCTCGGAGTCCGTGGACACGTCCATCTGCCCATCCTGACTCCTCGCCTGGTGCGGCACCGAAGGCGGGCGAACACACTCGCCGCCCTGACCCAACAAGTGCTGACTACTTATCGACGGCTTCAAGCCAACGGCTCGACTCTGCGCCAGCAGCGAAGCCACGGTGTTCTTCTTGGGCTTCGACACGCCGCGACCCAAATTCCTCGGGCGATTCTCCTTCGTCTGGACTGCAAGTGCAAGAAAGTGAGTCAGAAACTGATCTCAAGCCACTCAAAGACCGACTTACGTGATCCTTCAAACTGCTGACTTGACCCGAAAGCAGCCGTGAAGGACGAGAGATTCTGAAGACTCGTTCCACTATCAGTCTTGGACATTTGTGACTTTGACTCTGGTTTTGTGCACAAATTGAGAGGACCGTCAGGATCAGAGTCCATATTGTGATGCTTATCCTCAAGATTGAGTGGCTCAGTTTGATACATTGGAAGGTCATCTTTCAGTGCTGGCAAAGAACAAGCGGAAAAATTACCATAAAGTCCAAAATCCCCAATAAATTCATCCTCACCTTTCGACTGCATTGTCTGTGTCACCGTTGGTGGCAACTTAATCACCTCCACTTGATCATTTTGCTTGGTGAATTTGTTGTAATCATAGTCCTATTTTTCCAATGACACAGAAGAAGAAGAAGGAGAAAAAAAAACAGAAGATTAACACAATAAATCTCTAGAGAAAGAAAGTATAACATCAATATTTCAATGTTAGTTTCGCTCTCAAAAGCATTTCCCCCAAAAATACGTGAGCATGGAAATTAATTCAATAAATTATCGTGACACATGAATTAGTTCCTCACTCAATGGCAAAGATTAGTGAAAACAGTGAAAATGGTTTTGGAATTGAACTCACCAAGCGTGGACGTTTAGCCGCATCGAAAGCAAGCCCTGTGGGGCTTTCTTGATCATCGACACCACCTATTAAGGGATTTGGATCAAGTGAAATGGTCTTCTTACGGCCACGTTTTGTTGTACCTGGCACTTTGGGTCCCCCCTTCGAAGACGTGTACTTTATTATCTCAGTGTCTGGGGGCAAACGCACGCCCAACAAGGACGAGGAATCGCTAAAAATAACACAATTTCACATTTATTAACTGATTTTTTTTTTAAGAGAAATATCAGGGAAAATACCTCTCATCGGATTGCGTAGATCTGTGTTGGGATTAAAAAGAAAGCAAAGGGAAATTAATAGGAATGAAATCCACGGAATAATGCTAAGAGTATTATTTTACCCTGTCATTTCCTGCATATAACCCTTGAAGAGACGAGATTTAGATGCCAATGATGCGAGATCTGCAGAAATAATAAAGAAAAAGAGTTCTTTAGTCACTTCTACATACAAAAATCAAACTTTAGAATGATAATTCGCATAGCCATTGTTTTCTCATCATTCATTCTCAGAAAAATAGCCAAAGGATGGCGTTTTTATGATTAACTAGTCATGTTATCGCTGTAACGCAAATTTTTCAATACTGTCACAATTCATAGTAGTTTTAAATTTAAAATCTGATTCAGATTTCTTCAAATTCAGTTCCGAAAGCGTGGAATCGAAGAAGAGGCTAAAGCCTTGAATGTACGCGAGAAGAAAGCAAGGAAATCCTTTAGGACTCACCAAAGTTGCCTGGATGATAACCCAGCTGTGATGAATTCGTAATGATCGGTTGAGATTCGTTGGACTTGCGATTGATCTCCTCGTACGACGTCGAGGGCGCTGTGGTGTTGACCGCGTCGTTCCTGTCGCTGGTCGTCGGGACGCTCATGCCGTAGCTCTTGGCCAGGAGGGCGGAGATGTCACCAAGCTGTGGGAGGATAACAGGCGTCAGTGGCGTCATTCGCGAGCTGCTCAAAAATTGTGTGACACTCACCCTGTGCGCCTCGGCCATGGCCATCTTCTGTGGGTCGTTGAGATCTCCCGTGAGTCCCATCGCGGCCGGATTGAGCATCGCGGCGATGTCGGCGCGTCCGAAGGGCATCTGGCCGCCGAGATTGGGCGTCGTGTGGAGGCGCGTGAAGTACTCCTGAGCGGCCAGCTGGGCCATTGACCACCAATCTGTATGGGAGAGATGCGTGAGGCGACGCGAGGGGGACAGAGACAAAGATTACTCACCGAAAATTGATTGAGCATCTCCGAGACGATTGATTGGGTCCAAGTCGTTCTTGCGCTCCTTCTCCTTCGATTTTGAGTGATTGGAACTCATCCTGCCGCCCAAGTGCCACTGTCACCACCACGGGCCGCGGTTAGAGTGTGTAGCTGCACCGGAAGTGGCCCCACGGGGGCGCACTGGGGCCGCCAAAGAACCAAAAAGCCCGTGAGAAAATTCTATCTATACCTATATATAGTGACAATGACAGCGAGACGCCCTCTCAAACAATCGCGCTTTTCACCACCAAATTCGCACTGGGAGCTGCGGAGAGTGGCTGATAAGGGTGCGCGGGATCGCGGCGGAGCGCCTGCAGTACACACCGGTGGGCTTTTCCACCAATTTCCCACTGCTTTTCGCCAAAATACCTCCGAGTGACACACTCAATGTGTGCAAAAACAAAACATATGAAATGTCACTGCAGGGTTGCGCAACTCCGGCCGGAGGAGTCGCTGCCATCGGGCAAGCGGACCAGCAGGCGCCCACTGGTAGGCAAAACCAGCTCGCTTTGAATTGCAACTGCAGAAATTCTTCTACCCACTTTTAGTATTTGTTCAATTTTAATAAAACAACACCTGTAAAATTTAATAGAATTCACGACAGCACCTCCAGAACAGACTCGAACGTGGGCTTCTCACATGCCTTGAAGACTTCTAAACCTTCTTCTTCAATTGCCTTCTTCGTACTCGGTCCAATTGCCAAAAACTTGAATTTCTCCACAGCATTGCACTTTTCTCGGAGGAGTGGAAGTGTGAATTTCACACATGAAGGACTGTAGAACAGCAAGAATTCTGCATTCTCTGGGAAATTGTTTTCTATCTCCTCTCCAAGTGTCGGATTACAGATTGTTTCGTAAATTTCAATGGGATTCACTGCAAATCCACCTTCTTGGAGTTTTCTCTCTAAAATGCCAAGCTTTAAGTTTCCACAGGGAAAGAGAAAAGTGCCATTCGCTATGCCTTTCTTGTGCAAATCCTGCAAAATGAAGGCCGAAAGTGCTTCAGCATTGCCTGATTCTTCTCCATGGCAGTGAAGATTAATTTTCGAAGCCAGCAAAATGGAAGTGGATGGTCCTACACAGTAATTGCAAGCCTCTTGCCATGAAGGATGGACGCTCTCTCCTTCGATAGCCTCTGCAGATGCCTCAACTGCCCTGGGACTGGTGAAGATAATTCCTGTGAATTTAGTGTTGCTCTCCTTGAGAATTCTACCCCAGGATTGCAGGTTTTTGAAGCTGAAGATCAGAGGAGAAATGAAAGTCGCGGAAATGTGATGTTCTGAGAACTTCTCGAGCATTTCCTGCTGGAAACTCTCCTCAACTGCAGACTTGAACACCACCAAGTTTTTCATCATCACACAGCCTGCAAAAAAGCGTGACTTTTAGCAACACTAACTAATAATGATACAAGACTACATACTCAATCAATTTCCATTAGAAATTCAGGTACGTTGCCGCAAAACTGCAGGGAAATCAATGAAAATCCCCCGCTGTTTTTCTCCAAGCAATTTCTGAGGTTATGACAGTCAGATTCCTCAGATTCTGACAGCTCGGATTATCCAAGCATCCATCCGTCTCTTTCTCTCGCTCCGGCGCTCAGTGAGGTGCAAAAGAGCAAAAGTGAGCAATTTCGTGTGACAATCACGCAGGCGAGCAGTGATGTGAAAATTCCAAAGAAGAAAATGATAAAAAATCAATTCCTTTTATTAAATTAGGCCGCAAAAAGAGCAATTCGTGAAGTTGTGCAGTGCTCGAGTGCGTGACGTGTGGCGGAGACGCGATCTCCGATGAGTGAGTGAGAGAAATTGTGGCTGGAGGAAAGTGTGAACAACAAATAAAATGGCTTCGGGAGACAATGTGAATTCAATCGAAGAAATTGAAATTCCCACCATTCAGTCCACGAGTCGCGACTTGGGAGACAATGACGGTGAGTTGGCTGGGCAGTGGCGCCCCGCGGGGCGCTTGTGCGCCTCCCGAGGGGCGGTTTCTGGGGCCACGTCCAAAAGCGACTCCGTCAATCGATACTGTCCATGGCGAGAGGCACACCTCAAAGTCTCGGGGCTTGGCGCCGCACCGCTGGGGCTTCCCGGACACGCTCAGGCGGCCCCCGAGACGACACGCTGCCTTGACTCACCTTCGGTGGGCAGTGAGTCAAAAACGGCACTCGCAGTGTCAATAGAAAGGCATGAGTCATCTCGCGAGATGTTTTGATCGAGCCCAAGGATGGGATTCACGTGTAATCAGAATGCACTCACGCTTCATATGATTCTCGTGCTTGCCAATCTGAGAATAATGCTTCTGCAATTCCAAAAAGATATAAAAAGGAATTCAGACGTCGAGATTTGACCCACGAAATCAGAATTTAGGAGTTTAGCGTATAAATTCAAAGTCTGATCATTTAAATGTAAATTTTAGGTCAGAATCTGACGATATCGCTTTTTAATTGTTGATTTTCCACTTTCCACCCGATTGTTTTGGGAAATACGATGAACTAAGTTAAAATATTCATTCAAGCTTTTGCACATGTTAACATTCTCAACTTGGGCCATAAAAATTTCTGCAAAATTCCATGCGCCAGATTTTGTGTTGCTCAGGTGGCACAAAAATACCCATTAATGGCTTTACCTTTGTTTGGAAACTCTGTAATTAGTGCTCGGGAAGTTTTGGAAAGGAGAAAATCGGATTTAAAATCAGGATGAAATGAATAGTGTCCGTCATGATATGTAAAAAATTTTGTCATTATTCAAGAAGAATCAGTTTTTACGGTAAGACTTCTCATCCTGAAGCAGGTCGTGAGATGCTCGCGATAGTATCGATTACAGTATCAGTGAATAGTTCGAACGGAGAGAAGACTTCCTGTGTTTTTCCTCGAATTTCTCCAGCGCTTCTCTTTTCCGCTGCAATCTCACGTTTATCTCGTCTTCCATAGGTCTGGGCGGCAAAGAGGGCTCCGATGTGGGCAGTGACACGATGGTGCGCTCCGCTCGGTCCAGGTACAAGACGGAGAAGGAGCGCAAGATTGGGCATCGGCGAGTGGGCGAAGGCGGTGAAATCACCTACAAGAAGATCCAAACATCACAGATTATGGGATCGATCCAATTGGGAATTCAGCACACGGTAAATACATCAGCTCGCTGGCCTCATTTCGTCATAACTCACGAGTTCGCACAAAGAAAAATCTCTCACATGGTCACTCGCTTGCCTTCACGCTGAGGAGTATGACTTCAGTCCTGGGAAACAAAATATCGACCTCCTCACGCAATGACGAAATTGGGATAATCACCGACAATTCCGGGCTTTTTCTTATCGCCACAACAGCCATTTCGTGAATTTCCTTATCACAGCGCTGATAGTGACGCACTCGAGGGCAAATTCTTTCCCATTCACGTGCTTTTCACGGTGTCTCAAGGGATTTTCTAATATAGGGGTCAATAGGAAAAACAAGCATGTTTCACAGTTTATTGTTTTGCAATTTATTGTGCTGTCATGTTGAATTGCTAAGGACAAGCTTATGCTTATGCAGTGCTTCTGAAATAGACCAATTGTGCGAATTCATCGCTTCAGAAGACACATTTATTTATTGTACCACAAAACATTACCTTCCAGATGTGCTTAAAGAGGCAAAAATGTATTTTATTCCATAACATTGTGCCAGATTTGGGTTGAAATCAGTCATTTATTAGCTTCAAGAGAGACTTGTGGACATTTTCTCTACCTACAGTTTCATTATTGTCTCTTCCTTATCTCTGTTGAGTAAACAGTGTTGCAAATGCAATGGACAGAGTGAACAATTATCACTCGAAGTGGCTGAAAAGGTGTGAATTCCAGGAGAGATTTTCATGCTATATTTTGCCCAAATGAAAACATTCTGCTGAAAATTTAATTAACGCGCGACAGAAGTTTTCACGTCACTTCTTCGGCGCGGTAATGAATTTAGTGAGTGATTTATTTTGCAATGGGATTAGAGTGATTTGTAGCGACTGCTGTGAATCCCTTCATAATTGCTTACTTTATCGACTATCGCATTAAGGGGGGAAAAAAGCTCAGTTTTTCCCTATTCATCATCCCACGTTAAATTCCAATCAGATAGAAACGTGCTTGTTAGCAAATTAAGTCAACACGCAATATTTTAGCATGTAGAATGGAAATTTTACTACACTTTGGCCGATATCAAAGGTCAATGGTGTCTTCATTGTGGGGGGAAATAATATCAATGATAAAGGCTATAGAGCAAATTGATTATGTGGAGTCAACTATGTGTTTCCTAAGCACTCCCATTGGCAATGAATTTTTATTTCTGTGCGATGAACAACTCTGTATTCATATTCTGTATTAATGATTGAACAGATGATTATTCTTTTGCTCTGACAAGATATAATTGGAATTTAAAAATAGTATAGCTTTTTACAGATCAATACGATGTGTGTGTCTACGTGCTGAGAATGCTTCCTCATGCTGTGCTTTCTATTTCAGGTGGGAAGTTTGGCGTCCAAGCCAAAGAGGGATCTCCTAATGATGGACTTCTGGGAGATTGAGACGATATCCTTCCCACCGGAGGGTTCAAGTATTACACCAGCACATCACTATAGCGAGTTTAGATTTAAGATTTATGCTCCGATTGCATTCCGTTACTTTAGAGATTTGTTTGGTATCCAACCGGATGATTTTATGGTGAGTGTCGCATTAATAGGATTCTGCCAAATTCACATTTGACAATCATTCGTCTCCCCTAGATGTCGATGTGCTCGCAACCATTGCGTGAGTTATCCAATCCGGGAGCGTCTGGATCAATATTTTACTTAACCGATGATGATGAGTTCATCATAAAGACGGTACAACACAAGGAGGGTGAGTTTCTGCAGAAACTCCTGCCCGGCTATTACATGAATCTGAATCAGAATCCGCGGACGCTGTTGCCCAAGTTCTTCGGCCTCTACTGCTTTCAGTGCAATAGCAAGAATGTGCGCTTAATTGTGATGAATAATTTGTTGCCGTCGTATGTGAGGATGCATTTAAAGTACGATCTGAAGGGGTCCACGTACAAGAGGCGAGCCAACAAAGCGGAAAAGGAGAAGAAGTCACCGACATACAAGGATCTGGACTTCATGGAGCACCATCCGAATGGCATCTTCCTCGAGGCGGACACGTACAATGCGCTGATAAAAACAATCCAGCGCGACTGTCGCGTGCTGGAGTCGTTCAAGATCATGGACTATTCACTCTTGGTGGGTGTTCACAATCTGGACTTGAGTTTGAAGGACAAGCAGGAGGAGAAGAATGCTCAGCTGCGAGAGAGTGAGGACTTCCAGGCGGACACGTCACTTGACGGGGCGGGGGATGAGAGAGATCGGCGGGAGAGGCGATCCGGGGGCGCCACGGCACTCAATCGCAGTCGCTCAGTGAATCGGCAGAGACTTGTGGCGCACTCCACGGCGATGGAGAGCATACAAGCGGCCAGTGAGCCAATTGATGATGAGGATGACGTTCCGTGAGTACAAATAAACATTATTCTACTATTGTTCAAGCTACAAATGATACAGAATTATAAAAAAAAAGTATGACGCGAATTCATTCTAAAGCTCTTACACTCTTAAACATCCATGGAATTCAATATAATTTTGGTGGAAATGGTGTCTAATTGGTCTGAAACTGTGCTGTTCTTCGCTATTAATTTTGCGAAACTTCTCTAGAGACTTTTTGCACGCACAGAGTTTGCTAAATAGACCAATAAAGTGAGAAAGAGTCACTCTAGGCACTTTAATAAATTATTATCAGCAAGCTTATCACATATGTTGCTGTTTATTGTCTTGCTAGAAGTTTTCCTTGCCTTTTTGGCACATGTTCTCGCCTGTGGCGAAATGAAAGCGCAGATTGGGGACAAACTGTTCGTGTAGCTTGTGAATAATTTGGTGTTTTCGGAATCCCTTTTGGAGCGAAAACCACTTTGGATGGCGATGAATTGTTAATTGATTGAAATGTCTCTCTTCACAGACCCGGTGGAATTCCAGCGAGGAGTGAAAAGGGTGAAAGACTCTTGCTGTTTATTGGCATCATAGACATACTTCAGTCGTATAGACTCAAGAAAAAGCTGGAACACACGTTCAAAAGTATTATTCACGATGGGGTAAGCTTTGGCGAAGCATAATCGATTAGCTGTTCAGTCATGTGTGTTCATTTGAATTTCAGGACACAGTATCTGTTTGTCGGCCGTCGTTCTATGCTCAAAGATTTCAAGATTTCATGGCAAAAACTGTCTTCAAGAAAATTCCATCACGTACGTATGAAATTTTATGTCTCAACATTGTCACTCAGTGGGGTGAAATCATTCGTTTTTTTCCAATGATTATGATTTTGTGTACACCTATTGGCCCAAAACATTGGAAATAGGAATTATTTATATACTCTCTAATTATCAATCTTGTTGACAGAAAGTCCAACTCTTGTAGAATTCTATCGCTTTCTTTCTGTCTTCCTGTTCTCTCTGCGAAATGTTTTATTATATTTGTTGAGATTCAGGACGAGAGATTAAACGACTGTATAAATTTTTCTTACTCTCTGCCGCTAAGTGGACCTTCCTGAGATTAAAGGGAATCATAGAAAATTTCGTACTTTGGTCACCAGTTATATAGGTAATCTTGTGTAAATTGATTTTCCATCTTTCTCTCTTTCCATCCCTCTTTTCCACCCCAGTATATATTGGTAATTTTCTTCTTTTCCTCCCATACATTTGACGAGGCAAAATTATTCCATGTAGCAATTAATTTAGAGATGGTTTTCTTTCACTTGTAGTTTACTTTATTTTTATTATAACCTCCTCATTGACAATAAATCATGTTTTTTCCTCTCATTTATTTATTTTCACGAGCAGGGTGGATAAATAACCAAACTGAAATGTGATTTTGACTGGGTATTTTTTTCCGATGAACAAGGAATGATGTGTTTATTTTACTTTGTACTCATATTTTTTGTGATTTTTCACTCAGAGTGTTTCAGAGGAATGAGAAACACTCTCAATACGGTTCTTATTCATTGACACATGCTTTTCTTCTGTGAATCTCTTTTCCAGCTCTCAAACATTCGCCGTCGAAGCGAAAAAGTATTTCGAAGATGATGGCAAAGGCATCAACTAATGATATTGAATTTCAAGGTAAAATTTCTCACACATATTTTAGTAATAATATAGAAAAAATGCAGATTGCATGAAAAGTGCGCGCGCGCGCTTTTGAGTGTGATGATGAAACTAACACAATGTTTTTTTTCTCTTGTTTTCTTTGGCATTCTTATAGCATTCCCAGGGGAGACCAACCATCCCCAATTTACCAATAGTACTAGCAATTCAGCAACCAATCCGGGTAAATTTGATGCATATTTGATGCAAATTTTCAAAACGTACATGGTAGAAGCTCACTAAAGCACATTTTCACACATAAACACTCACACGAGAAACTGTTGACAAAGAGAGACAAAAAAGAGTAGAATTAATGTTTGAGCATGAAACCCAACAAGTTATTTTGCATAAACTCAAGTCGTTATCTTTACATTTCACATGCTGCCAAATAATAAATTGTGCAATTGGATGGACAAACGCATGGAAAATGGTCACTAACAAAACAAACTAATAATTGTATCTAATCAATGAATCGATTATGAAAACTCAGTGAATTCAATAATGAAGAATACTCCACATAAGAATAAGACTTCGACACTTCCGTCTGTTGCGAGTAATAATCAAAATGTGGCGGCGAATGTGCAGCAGCCGCCACTGAAGCAAAGCAAGTCAAAGATTCAAAAGTCCAAAGTCCCACCGCCCGTTCCGCCACGAAAGTCGCCAAATAACCGTAAACTCGTGGACTCTAATCGCGGGAATCCTGCCAGTGATGATTTCTTGGATCACTCATCAACAGGTAGTCTTCACCAATCATCCAAAGACCAGTATTTTTGAAGAGTAGAAGCGTGTCTAACCATCTACTAACCCTAATAATGTCACAGAGATTTACTCTTTCTCTGTGCCAAACCGCCTGGAGAAAAGAGCCCGCGAACTGAGCAATGTTTTCGTGTTCTTGCAGGAACGGCGCCGTCTGGATGCTCAACGCCGCCGCCGCCGTTCGATGACATCTCCGAGTATAGTTCTAGTCTGGCCAAGCATCACTCGTCGCCAGGAGCAGCTGCGGGCAGCAACAAGACGATGGCTTCCACGTCGTACGAAGAGGATGTTGTGAGGTAAAAGATTCCACCTAAGCATTTCTTTCTGCCCACCAAAGTGAGTCTTTTGTGCTTTTTCTCCACTCTTTCGTTGTTCTTTTCTTGAGACGATGCGTGAACAAGGCACAAGTTGACTGATTTGGTCAGTTTTTGAGCAAAAAAAAGAACTCTTCAGTGAGTGTGATTCAGTTGAACTTTCTTTTAGATGTTATACTTAGGCTTGCTAGTGGTGTATTTTTTCCTCAAATCATATTAGGAAAGGTTTTCTGAGCAAATACTTATAGAGAATTACGTAGATCCTGATGTAAATTTGACGATTGTTCATGCACAACATGAGAGATTAAATATATATTGTTCATTGATATAAATCAAATGTTGTACTGCCAGTGTTGTTACAAGTTCTCCTAAGTTTGATGTTCTTCAAACACCATAGAATGACTCGTGTTAAATATAGAAATACTCAAGTTGTGCCTTCGAATTTAGCCTCCTTGCTTTTTTTCTTGTCCGTGTGCTAATTATTAATCACTCTTCTCTGCGCAGCATTTCAGAGATTCGCGTGCACAGTCACCTGGGCATGGACATCTCGTCGGGGAGCAGCCACTACGGCTCCAAGGGTGGCTTGGCGTGGACGTCTGGCGAGGGCTCGACGCCCACGTGGACCGAGGGCACGCCCAGCTACACGGAGTCCAGCTCCAGCGGCGAATTGTGCCACAGTAGCAATAGATAATTTGTGGGTGGCGACGCCAAAAATCACCGGGTGGGTAGTCAAATCAATCACATTGGGAGAGAGGAGCGCAGAGTGGATTTCAAATCAATATAAGTAAACTGCATTGCATAAATTATATAAACTAAAGGATAGGGCGAATGACGAATGTATAACCAACTCTTCTTCTTTGTGAAATACAGCAAATAAGCATTGTTGCTAGAGTAGTGGTGAGAAAATTAAATTATTACAAGTTGGTGGTTCATCGTGAATAGTTAGCTTCTTTGAAAACAAAGTACATTATATTGAAAAGTGTAAAAAAAAATTACTCCATTGAAATCAACAAATATAGTTATTACATTGTAAGAGGAAGATAGAAAAAAGCATTAAATAGCCAATATTTCTCTCCATCAGCAGTTCGTTGCATTTCTGCAGTGGAGAAATGTATAACCAAAAAAAAGGAATTCTCTTAAGTGTAAAATGATCAAATGTATTTTATTCTTTTTTTTTTTGTCTAAAGGAGATATTTTTATTTTATATTTAAATGAAATAAGACATGAAAATCATTGAATGTTTCATTAAATCTTATTTTATTTACTCCAATTTATTTCACAAGTGACGAAACAGAAAAGAGAAAAGAAGCTCTCTCGGGTTAAATTAAAATTTGGGAAGAGGGAAGTGAGCTAACGATTGCCAGAGTTTTGCTTTCGTTTAAGCGGTAAATCCTCATCGGAATCACTCAGTGTCAAGTCCACCTGGAAATCAATTGAGAAACAGGTGAGAACAGAGATATAATCGCCTCTGTGGGAAACGCACCGTTTCACCAGTCGTTGAAGATGGTTCTGCTGCTCCTTGGTTGCCAGTTGCATTCTCGGATTTTGCACATTTTGTCGATATGACTTCTGGCGGAAAACAACCAAATTAGAGAGAGCGATAAAGGAGTTTGCCAAGTGATTCGCACTCACCTAAGTCGTCTGATATAATCTCAACGTTTTGCAATGTCTTAATAGGTGTGTCCAGCGCTTGTGTGTCCGATTTCAGAACATGTGCACTCCAAGATCCGTCATTGTGCAGCTGGATCTCATTACTGTCAGCGCCCAGATCCTTCGACGCGATCACTTCCTGGAAATACCTGCAGAAAACATTGCAATCAGTCATCAATCTCAGCACAGCTGATCAGCAACTCACCCATCAATGACCAGGTTCTCGTACACCGCTTGCTTATCACACACAGGACAGTTCCACGTGGGCTTCCGCTCGTTCATCTGCAGATAGAGACACGCATCGAAGCACTGCAAATGAGAACAAGTTGACGCTCGACACGGTGTTGTCATTCTCATCTTCCCCAGAGGACAAGTCAGCGACACCCTTAGCATTGTTGTGGCAATTTCACAGTCTGCGTCCTCCTTCAATTTGTCAATAACTGCAGAGAGAAAAAAAGGCGTTAGGATCTCTTCAGCAGACACAGACGCACTTGCCACTCACTCAAAGCCCTCGTCACGTCGGCAGCCTTGATTCCCTTCGTCTTGAGTCGCTGCAGAAGCTGAACTGATGACAACTTCCTCACCTGTCGGAGGAAAATCAACTCTTAGAGAAGATACAACTTCTGTGACGCCTTCAAAACTCACCAGATAAATTGACGCGACGTGACCGCGGTTGAATTCAGTACACCAGCTGATTTGGATTGTGTTCGTGACGAGCGGCGCTAGCTTTACATTTCCAGTGATATTTACAGGTCTCGGTGGACGTTTTGGCTCAACACCAGGCTTATTTGTCGGGATGGGATTCTAGAAGATAATCAGAATTATGAGATAAATCAATGCCATTGAAATACTTCAGCACCAATCAAACGGGACAATTTCGAGCAATATAATCCTAACTAAGCACTTACTATTTATATTCAAGGAAAATTATTTTCTTAAATCCTGCAAAGCTTTGACAATGCTGAGAATATTAAATGGCTTAAAGTCAAAGTTCATTGACCGGTGAAGAAAAATTGTCTCAAGACGATGAGCTCAAAGGAGAGAATTTTCCATTCACAGGAATTTCTCAGTATCGATTTTTTGGAAAATCGCTTAGAATCTCCGTACTTTAACAATAATGCACTCAAAACCCATTCCAAGTCTTTTCCAGGCTAAACCCAAAGTGAGCTTTGAGGCAATGGCCCGAATTGAAGCTATAAATACACTTGTGTTCACACACACGTGGCTTTGTGTGAATCTCATAAGCTTCGCCATTTTATCTCAGCGAGGTTTAGGTTTAAACCTCGTAAATCAGGTTTACACTTTTCTCGAAATTTCACTGCGCCGCACCTTTGCACACTCCCCGGCCTCTTCCGGGGCTCCGGGGCTCGCGCGGAGAGCGCAGACAACTCACCGGCAATTGGCACTGCTTCCCGTTCACTTTGACAGAGATGTTGGGCGGGAAGTAGTCGTCCTGTTCAGTCGTTGTGTCCATGAGGCAGAACCTCAGCTGCACCTGCACCGTGTGCTCCACCCGCGAGGCGTTCCGGATGTCCCGGTTGGTGGCGATCTCGGTGGCCTGGGCGGGCGTGAGCGTGAAGTGCAGGCTGTTCTCGTGGAGACGCTGCGACGACGTGGGCGCCAGGAGGCTCGGATTGACGAGCGTCGCGAGGATGTCGAAGAACGCCAGCTTCTTCAGCTTCACGTCCACCTCCGGCGGGTAGGTGCCGATCATGTAGTTCATCATGCCATTGTTGTTGGCCTGCAAGGACAGGGAGAGTGCGTCAGTCGGCCGCTCGCGCGTAAACAATTGCCTTTCTCACCGTCATGATCCGATTGGCGTCAGGCGGACAGGATATGAGGCTCTGTTGCTGGTACATCCTCCGTTTTGCGCTGCGGGTGATCACTCTCGACACCGTGGAGGACTCCAATTTCCCGCTTATGGTTACAATGTTGTAATGAAATCGCGCTGAGGCTCAAAATCAACGCCACATCGAGATTCTTCAGCCGACAGGTTACCTGGCTCACTCTCGCATCGGATGGCCAGGCAGGTTCAATTGTTTGCTTAATCTCTCTTCTCAGCAGCCCTAGTGAGGGGTTGTGCACACTAGCGGGACATTATTTGCAGTATTTACTGAGATTAGAAGCTGTTTTGGTCAGACTCCCTCGAAAAAACTCTCTCTCACCCGCAAATTCACACAATGGCCGCTCTTTCGAACACCTCGCGGCGCTGCAGGCACGGTGGTGAAACTGTACTTTCAAAGTTTCAAACAATTCACAGATATTGCAATCGATCATTCAATGCAAACCAAGATTCCTTGCCGAGATCCTGATTTCATGATCTGAATAAGGAACAAAAAATTCTTGTCAGTTAAGTGCAACAGGATGCTTCCCTCTGTTTATTAGCATAATTTTTATATTATAAAAGAATTAAGATTTGAATTTTGAGGTTTGTCTTAAACTAGCTTCAAACTAGGCTACAAGGATTCTTTTGGAATTCGTTGATCATAATCATTTTTGTCCTTCTCGGACTTTTGTGCTGTAAATTTGATGAGAATCAAGAAGCATGGAATATTCTCTTAATTAAAATACATTAATATTGCCTCGAGTTTTTCCGCAATTATTCCATAGATTTTTATCTGTACAATCATGTCTTGCATATTTACACTAATACTTTACTTATATTCTTATCTTTAATTATTATCTATGTCTATAATCATTAACAGTCATGGAAATGAAATGTTTAGGAAACTACTTCTCAAATCTTGCGCTTAAAAGCTTGATATTTAGTGAAATTTGTTAAAGTGTTTCCTTAGTGTGCTCGTGCTGTGAAAATTCCTCCCGCATTCCTCACACTTAAAATCATCCGCGTGCATTATAACGTGTTTCTTCAGGTCGTCCAATGTCTTTTGAACATCCTTGCAAACGCCGCATCTGAAGGGTGGATCTTGAAAGGAAGTAAACACACGATATTACATTGCCTAATTCATTTACCTCATTCAGCTTACCTTTAGTGTTGAAAGGAAGTCCACGATGGCCCGCTCTCAAGTGGTTTATCAAACTGGTCTTGTTCTTATCGAAAACCTTTAAACAATAGGGACACATTTTTCCCAGTTTATCGATAATTTCATGGTTCTTCATGTGAATTTTCAGTTTAAACATTGTCTTAAATGGTTTTGAGCATATTTCACAGTTGATGTACTGGTCTACTTGATCATCAGACTGAGAGCTGTGAATTCTTCTGTGAATCTCCATATAGTGTTTGCTGGTGTATGATTTCTCGCAATCTGGACATTTGTAGTATTGCTTCTTCTTCCATTCATTACTCAATCGCAAGTGGATTTTCTCAATGTGCCGTGCTAATGTGTGCTTCACTCTGAACTTCAAGTCACAAATTGCACATTCAAAAATCTTTTCCAGTCGCTCGTCTCGATGTACGGCCACATGTGCTATCAATTCCCTCATGTTCTTGAAGATCTCGCTGCACACTGTGCACTTGGGAACCGATCGGGGAATCCTGGGAAGACCCCGATGGCAATTCTTCAAGTGTGTCTGCAGGCGAGAAAGCTGGTTGTACCTCCTCGCGCAGTAGGGGCAGTGCTCGGGCTCACCAGTCGATGGCATGTGAATCTTCTTCATATGAATCTTCATGTGTGTTTCCAATCTGAATGTTTTGTCGCAACGGTTACAGCAAAAGGGCTTCTCATTCTTGTGGATACTCACGTGATCCAGCAGCGCTTGCTTCTTTGTAAACTTTCTCATGCAAGTCTCACACTGAAAGATTTTATGTGTCCCGAGATGCCTTTCGTAGCGATATTTCGATGTGAATGTATGTTCGCAGACTTTGCAAATCATAACTTCGAGTTTTTCATGATTTTCACTACGACAAGATGAAAATTATTAAAAACTCATGAATTTATCAAGGAATCTCTAAAAAAAAACTTACATTTTGACGACCGTTTTAACTTTCTCGTCTTTGTCCTCTCTTTGCATTTGCTTCATTTCCGCTTTTAGCTCCTTTGGCGTCTTAAAGATATAATGTTGCTTCTGAAGATGCAATCTTAGACTCGCTGTGTGTTTGTATACCCTCTTGCAGATGAAACATCGCACGGGTTTCTCTATGTGGGTTTTTATGTGTGTTGCCAATTGGTATTTATCATAGTAAATCTTGCTGCAATAGACGCACTGAAGATTATTCCTTCTGTTTTGTCCTCGTCGAGATCGTTGTGGTGTGAATTGTGTGATCTCGAAGCTAACAAACTCCTCATTATTCTTGCTATAGCTCGGAACTCTGGAAGGAAATCAATATAAATTAATAATGGTAAAAACCTGCAAAAGGACAGAAATCACAATCTTACTCTGAACCTGACGGGCTTTCCATTGGATTTTCTTCATAAATTTCTTGGATTTCAAACTCTTCCTTTATGATATCGCAATGCAAGAAGAAGTTATTTTCACTTTCATCGTTGTATTGCACCGCATTTCCTACCTTTATGTTTCTGTTAATGCTCCTATCCATTGCAAAAATTGCAAAAGCGAGTTTTTCACAGACTTTTTTCTTCTCTTTTTGACGCGTTGTCAAAACGCGTGTTTACATTTTCCACAGTCTGAAGTTTACCGATAATATGCTGTCAAATATGCCGTGAGTTTCGTGTCGCTGATTGGTCGCTGCGAGTCTTTGATAAGGGAATTCCCCGCATTAGTTTCCTCTGTGTTATATTGATGTTATCAGAGATAAGTCATCCAGTCAAGCCCATTAAAAACTCTAGAAATGGCCCTTTTGCCCAGAGATTCAGGCGAATTCATCGTCAATTGCGCAGTGCGTGTGAAAATCAATCGGGATGGCATTGAGAAATTGTCTCAGGAAGTATTGAAGAAATTAATTTCCGGGGAGATCGATTTTGGAATGTTTTCTCAGCATAAAAACTTCCCGAAGCCTGATGATGCGCAGTGCCTGAATTGGATCTTCTTGGTGAGTAACCTCAGCTTTTGCTACTGGAAAGGATCCCATGCTGGCAAAACGTGGAGAGTTGAAGGCTATATAGGATTTTACGCACTCTGCGCCTCAATAAATCGTACCAGAAGGATCGGAGCGGACATCACCAATCCGGAATACTATTCTCAGCTTAATGTTAACGATCTCATGTGGATCTTCCGGGAGGACGAAGGAGCTGGAAAGTTTCGCCTCATAGAAGACAGAATCGAGATCTTGAAAGACGTCGCGAAGACGCTCGTGGAGAAGTTTGACGGGAACTTCGAGAACTGTGTGAAGCAGTGCGACAAATCAGCCCAGAAACTGCTTCAGATCATCATTGAGAACTTCCCTAGATTCCGAGATGAGGCCACTTTCATGGGAGAGCGAGTGTCTTTCCACAGACTTGCCCAGATGCTTATCAGAGACATTTGGATCACATTTAAAGGCGAAGGTTTGGGCGAATTCACTGATATCAATAGCCTGACGATTTCCTCAGATTATCACATTGCTAAAGTTCTGGCGTACTTCGGAGCACTTCAGTGCAACCCAACAATGATTCAGTGCATGAAAAATTTCCTCGTTTTGAACCAAGGTCCTGAGCAGGTGGAGTTATGCGGAGCATCGATCTACATTGTCGAGGAGGTGATAAAAAACGTTCTGCAGAAGATCGACGATCAGGGACTGAACATTCCAAGGGAGAGCGTGAATTCATGCCTCATGGATTGCTTCCTCTGGGAGTATCGAATTCCCTATCGACACGACAGAAGATACGGCAAGACAATCAAGAAAAATATTCCACACCAAAATCAATAAAATGATATGTTACGTATTGCAAGAATAAAAATAACAATTCAAACTTCTTCAAACACAGCAATATATATTAAAATCGATAAGATATCTAGAGAAATGCAGACGAGGAACGGGGGCTGATTAGAGAATTCTTCCGCGGCAATTCTTGGAGCCGCACTGGCAGAAGAGGAACTTCCCAGGCACCGTTCCCACGTCGTAATTGTAGTTCCACGTGAGTTCCGTGCCGGCCCGGATGTGACACATGGCGAAGAAAGCCACCCACGGAAAGCGCAGATCGTGTGTGTCCACGAAGACGTTCTGCACGAAGAGATTCGGCGAGCAGGAGTGCTGTAAGGACAGAAAAATTCAGTTTTCTGGCAAGTTTTCAACTCTCCGAAAACACTCACATTAAAGTATCGACCAACGTTGCCCATAATCTTGGCGTCCATCACATAAACATCTTCGCCCTTGCCGAACATACGTCGCAATCCTCGTGCCTTCTTGGACGGCATGTCCTCCTTCTCTATTGAAATATTGGGCTCGAAGCTCTGCGGAATGCGTTCTGCAAGTACAATTAACATTACTATTTTTATAAATCTTCAAACACACCGAAACCCACCATCCTCATCATCTGATATCGCAATTACGTCCTCGTTGGCATTCCTCTCACCTCCTTGAACCCTCGCTGCCCCGCTCGCCATCGACTTGTGTCCCGTTGTGTCGGATCGCCTGGTTTTGGAGCGCGTCTTGATGGTCTTCTGCACCACGGCTGTGTTCACCGAGAAGTAGTCGTCGTCGGAATCGCTTCCGCGCCGGCGCTTCGGATTGTACTCAACATCATCTCGATCAGATGCGGAGTCCTCTTCTGGCGCTTCTGGTTCATAGCCCTCCTTGATACCCTCCGCCACTTCGATGTAGTCCAACTCGGCAAAGTACTCATCACCGTGATTCTGGCCACCCTCGTTCGCCTTCTGCTCCGTCAACAGGTGGCCCGCGTAGATGCAGATGAACTGGCCCTTGGGCACATCGTTGAGACAGCGCAGGCCCCAGCCTCTGTTGGCCGTCTTGAAGACCTGCAGCTTCAGCGACAGCGGATGCTGCACCACGCGATTCAGGCAGTTCATCTTGCACTTGCACCTGCAGAAGTACATTGACAGGTTAGTTTTAAGAGGAAAAATCTTTGCATGCACCACGAAATTCACTCACCTAGAGTTGCACTCGTAAATCCCCGTTGGCACTGGATCATAGAGCTTCTTGTAAGTGTAGCCGACAGTGTTGGGATCCACAGTGGGCGTCAAGCACCTCACGCCGGCTATCGTGAGCTGCCAGCAGGCGCACTTGCTCTTGTCCATGCAGTCGTCAGTGCAGTCGCAGCCGCAGAGGAACTCCGGATCCAAATTGAGATTGACACCTTCAGTGGGGATCCTGTGATTTGCATAGATACACGTCGGCGGCACGGTGTCATCGTAGCAATTCACGCAGGCGATTGGCATGCTCTCCACCCCGTTGCTGATGTCACTCTTCCTCACAATAGCCGAATCAATGACGTACTCAGCCAGGCAGTGCACGGCGGGATCAAAGTCATAGTTGTCCACATTGAGATTGCAGTCTGTGAATCTGAGATAGGTGTGCACCTCATCAATGCCCCGCAAGCTGCGTCCGCAGGGCGCCTTGTACACCACATAGCGACGCGCCTTCACGCGATAGATCTTCCTCTCCCAGCCCGAGAGCAGAGGCTTCGCCAGCGGATTGTACAGGTTGAGATCATACGAGATGCGATACAAGCAGTCGGGATTGCAGTTGTGCGGCGTGTAGCTCTTCGGCGGCATGTTGAACTTTGCCGTGTAGAAGATCACCTTGCCCTTGGGATAATTGTCATCCTCCAGGAAGATTGTGCTGTTGTTCATCAGCTGCTTCTGCGGCTGATTCACCGGCGCCGGCGGTTGGGTGCTCTTCTTCGCCACGGATCGCGTCTGGTCTTTGGTCACTTCCCTCGAATCCTCCTCCAGTCTGCGCTGCTCCGTAGCACGTTGAGTATCATCATCGACATTCCTGAAACTCACATAAGGTTCATTGCGAGTCTGCAGTTTCTTCCCAGTCGACAATCTCGAGTCCATCTTCATTCTGTAGATGGGCAGCAATCTCTGTGATCCACTGTAAATCCACTCGGTGTAGTCATCGTAGTACACCAAAATAATACTCGCGTCCACCTTCGCCACTCTCATAGACACCCACTTTCCATTCCTCTCCACTTCAATCTTCTGTCCAATCTTCACCTGCGCCACGGCGCGCTGATACTGATTCTCCTGCAGGTAGTTCTTGATGAAGTCCCTCGAATTTGGATTCACGTCATCCCAAACATTCTCCGAAACCCTGCAAATGCGCCTCACATCCTTAGAGTAAACGTACTGCACGTAGCCATCGTCGAAGAAGATCAAGTATCGGAAGTTGTTGGTCTCTTGCATGGGTTCCGCCACGATTCCCGGGTAGAAGAGCTTCCGTTTCATATTGCTGAACATCGCCAGAACGCGACAGCCGACGGGGAGTTTCTGTGTGGGCGCCTCCGCGAATGCAAGTTGCTTCCCCGTGAGAATTCCCTCTTGCTGATGCCGTATAAATTTCACCTGGTAGCGCGTCTCAGAGTCCACTCCGCCCTGCTGCAACTTGTTCAACACCTCGCAGTGGTTCCAGGGCTTTGTCAGCTGCGTGCGCATCCCATAGTAGACCGTGCCCACCTTCACTTCGCCCGTTGGCTTAATGCTGGCCATTGTCATCTGACCTGTGGGCATAACTGGAGCCGCCGGCTGGATAGGCAGTGTTTGTTGCATGGCCTGCGTTGCCGCACTTGCCTGCATCGCAGGCGATGGAGTCAGTGTCGCCCCACCCTTTTCCGTAATCATCCGGTAGTGCACCACATGCTTATCATCATCCGGCGCCGGGAATTCCGTGTAAATGTGAATCGGAGGCTCATGCTGAGTCATGCGCTTCTCCTGGAAAGAGTAAACAAAGATGAGCGTCTTCTAGAACCACCTAGAAATCACACTGACCAGCTGAACTGCTTTGCCAGCCTTAAACCGGGCATGCCACTTGCAAATATGCTTAGAGCTAAGAATTTGATCCCTAAAAACTTTCCTCAACATTGCCAATGTCATTTTAACATTCTTCCCCAGATTAACGCAAAATTTAACGCAAATTTGCTGCTCTGTTTTCAACGCGATCTTCATGGTCTCCTTGTGAAACCTATGATTTCTAAGCCGCCCGCCAAGAACTAGCCAAGAAGCACTCCTTTATGGAGACTATGGACACAAAAAAATGATTTTTTTAAGTGCCCTTTTAACTGTTTTTCACTGCTTAAGATTTGCTTGAAAATTTCACATTTATTTAGTTTAGTTAGTTATTAACCAAATTCTTTCACTTACCCTACTATTCAAGCTCTTGAACAGCCCGTCCGCCACTTTCTGGATCTTCTGGAACTCAGCACTCAACTGAGCATGGGAGCTATCCAGCTTGCTCACTCTGTCTCCGAGATCCTTCTTCGTCCACTCGAATTGTTGGTTGATCTTCACCTTCTCCATCGTGGCAATGATAATCTCGTCGAGACTCTGCTCCACCAAAGTCTTCTCCGCCTCGCTCAGAGGCTTCCTCATACTCTGCACAATCTCATCCTCCGGCGACGAGTCATCACTGCTGTCTGAGATCTCCACAACATCCGTGTGCTGCGGAAAGTGATGGAACAGAGGCTTGTGCGCCTTCAGAACACTGCAGTACTTCTTCATCTGGCTTATGGCCACATCGTGGCACTCCTGGCACACGTACTGTATCTTCTTGCGCTTTTTCGTGCTGTAGAAGCTCACAATGAAGCCCAGCGCGACGGCATACTCCACACCATTTTGACTTTTGCACGCCACATTGATGCATTCGTAGTGTTTGGGCTTCTGCGGCTTCTCCTCTGTATTGTCCTTCTGCCCGAAGTTATTCACCGGCCACTCAGCATTCGCCGTCTCGTCTACTTCCATGTCCATCGGCGTGGAATCATCCTCAACGGCGTCTCCACGATCGCTGGGCATGTCGCTGGACTCTATCAAGTCCATGCTCATACTGCTGTTATCCTCAGTGACGCTCGGCCGCTTGTCTGGCTCTTTCTCCGGATTCTCAATCACCTGGGAGGGAATCTCTGGAGCTACTTCAGGTTTATCAATTTCCTCAGATTCAGCTTTCTCTTCCGGAGTATCCTTAACTACTTCACAAACAGTATTTTCAGGTTTCTGATTTTCTTCAGTGATTTTCTCATCATCTGGTTCTGCTTTCATCTCTTCAGGAAAGTTTTCGGAGGATCCCTCAATTGCAAATGCCTCTACAATTTCTTTTTCAGTGTCAGGATCAGGTTTGACATCATCTTCAAGTTTTACTGATTTCAAAATTGTATCTTCTGTTTTCTCCAGAGTTGTTTTCTCATTTTTCTCGTCCTCAGCGAAGAGTTCCTTCCATTTCTTCTCGAGTTCCTCATCTTCAGCAGTTCCCAAGTCCATCTCACTATTCTGGCTTACTTCCAGATCCACATCCTTGACCGTGTCTTCTTTATCTATGTCCTCATTGCCCTTCAAGGGAGTTTCCTGATCAATTTCACCCCCATTTTGTGTCACTTCTTCATCCACCGGTTCTTCAGAGACTTCATGAACCTTCGCTTCTTCTAATTCTCTCACGCCCTCATTCAGGAGCTCATCCAAAACATCGTCAGTCTTATGTGATGATTCTTCTAGTGCTTGTTTATTCAAAACGACGCTCTCTTTGTCATCTTCAGAATCTACAAAGTTCCAGTCAATATCATCTAGAGTATCGCTAAGATTTTTCTCCTCCGTCTTATGCACATCTGTGGGTTTTTCCTCTAGCTTCTGAGGGCTCTCCACAACACCCTCCGGGGGTTCCTGGCATTCCATATCCGACGAAAGTGGCTCGCTCATCTTCCCAGTTTTATTGCCACTAAATGACCTCTGAAAACCACAGTGAAACCAAACTTGTACAAAGAGGGAACTATCCAACAGTCTCTTCAACGAACTACCATGAAAAATAACAATAATTTATACGAGAAACTGATAAAAAGGATTATTTTCCTGCAGAACGGAAGCTTCTGCTTGTTTTACGAAAATTAGGTTATGCACACTGACAGCATAGACACCACAAGATGCCGCTTTCCGCTTTTCTGAGAAAAATTCAATGATTTCCACAAAATCTTCTACACGTGGCCGTGAAATGAGAGAGAAAAGGACAAATGTGATCATTTATGATCATAAATGCAGGACATTCTCTATACAATCACGAAAAACGCCGGCTTTTTTGCAAGCCAAACTGAGACAACAATGGGAAATGTCGGGAAGCAGGTGGCACTGCTGCCGCTGTGGAGGTGCTGTCAGCGCTGTCACAGCCGGCCATCTTGACTCTGTAAAAATTGCAGAAATTTGCCCAAAAACTCACCCATTTTCATATCTCTAAGCGCTCCAGGAGACTCCAATAGTGCCCGTGTGTGTAGTGTCAAACTCCCGGAGTGCGTGTAGCAGTGCTAAAAGGCGGTGCGGCGGGTGCAAAACGCGTCTCGAGGGTGGGAAAATCATGGGAGCATGAATGACGGAAACCGCGGTTCTGCAATGTCTGGTCATTCTCATGGACGCTTGGGACAACCGCCAAACACCTCATGGAATCACCTTCAGGTGAGTTGTTCTGTTCAGCGATTGTGGCTGTCGGTTACCGAGGTTTGGCTTGCAGGTCCCCTCGTACATTCCACGACAGCCGCAACTGGCTCACCTTTCCAATGAGCGCCCCATGACTTGGCACACGCCGACTCCTCCGCCCACAGACGCCCTGTACAACTTCATGGCAGCTAATCACAAGAACGTGAGTATCCAGCGCTCCAGGAAAGCCATCATCTTATGCAAGCTCTCTTCTTTCCAGCCACTCGACTTGAATCCAATGATACCTACTTTTGCACCGACTCCTGCACCTTTCACCGGCACGATGGACCTCACTGTGCCCTCATCTCGCAATATGCAATCTCCGACGAGAAACAGCGGCTCCTCGCCCGGCGCCAGTGTCATCCAGACGGTGGGAAAGGAGAAGAACAACGGCGAGCTCGGGACTCTGTTTGTCCGCGACGCTAAGCAGATTAACAACGACGTGGCGAAACTGGGTGGCCTTGCAGAGCCTGTGGAGTTGGTGAAGGAGGCACTGTTCATGAAGAACCACGCACCCAAGTGTAACAGTCCAATTCAACCGCCGGCGCCGCCCACGCGCCAAAGCCCGGCGCCCAGCGTGAGTCCGCCGGTGGTGAACCAGCCCAGTGATCTCAGCTCAGCTTCTACGGGTGTACAGGAGAGCGTTCAGGTGTCCCCCAAGTCTGTTGACTCTGTAGACTCGGGTGGACGGAAGAGACGAAAGCGGAAGCCCAACAAAACGACGAGGATGGAGAATCAGGAGGACGAAGAGGAGCAGTTTGTGCCATGCGTGGAACCAGTGGCGATCGCAGAACCCGTGAGTGCCATACAAGAGGCGCGGGCGCACGATCCAGTCAGTCCGGGGAAGAATATAGACTCCAGTCCGAGGAGACGTAGTCGGAGAAAAGGGGCGGACGATGCAGAGCCCGTGGAGACGATCGATATGATTGCCAACACGGAGGAAGATGCGCCAAAACAGCAGCCTCAAGAAACTGCTGAACAGGAGAAGGTGCAGGAGAATGGAGAAAAGAGTCAGGAGGCGGAAAATGTGAACTTCGACGAAGTGGAGAACAAACTAGAGCAGATGTTCGCCGGTATTGATGATCGACCGACCCCAGCTGCCAATGCCGTAGCCGACGAGACACCGACGACCAGCAAACCCGGCCCGAAGCCGGGCAGAAAGCGCGCTCTGTCTAAGGATGAGGACATCACGAAGCCCAAGAGGCGGAAGCGCGGTCGAAAGCCGGCTAAAGTGGTGGAGAAAGTGGCGGAGAAGCGGAAAAAAGGGCGGCCGCGACTGAAGCCGCCTCGGGATGAGGCTGGAGCGTCAGCTACGGAGACCAGTTGCAGCACACCGAAGTTTCGAGGTCCCTTCGTGCAGGTGCGCAGCAGCGGCGTGGCGTGCGTGATCAACACGCCGCAGACGGAAGAGGAGGGAGATCGCAAAGGGCGGCTGCATGGGCATGCGAGCGGTGAGAGGCGGAAGATCAGAGGACTTCACGTGAGCACGCTAAGCACGAAATACGATGCCGACACGACGGACGCCACGTGGATGTGTGTCTTCTGCAAGTTCGGGCCTCACAAGATGGGCTTGGGTGACCTTTTCGGCCCATATACTGTGTCCACGGCCTGCGAGGAGTTCCAGCTGAGCCAAGTGGAGCCCGCGATGGATGAATTCAAGAGCAAGCGTACGAAAGGCGCCATGATCCAGCGCAATGCACACACTTTACCCGTCGTGGCGGCAACACTAGCCACAGGAGACGCCGCAGCGTCAACGGTGAGTGACTCAACTCGCGGCCCAAGTTGAGAAGAAAATGAGCGGGGCATATTTCTTTTTAATCAATTCTTCTTTTAATGAATTCTTTCTCTTGCAGTCTGGCGGCAAGAAGAAGAAGAAAGCGCCAGCGGACGGCGCTTTGGAGGCACCTCTGGACGTGTTCTTGGGCATGGGGCGTCTGAGCGAGGAGTCCCTCGAAGTGTGGCTGCACGAGGACTGCATCGTGTGGGCTCCGGGCGTGCACATCGTTGGTTCGCGCCTTGTGGGCCTCGAGGCGGCTGTTTGGGGCGCCACGAGGCACAAGTGCACGCTGTGCGGAAAGAATGGGGCGTCTATTGGGTGTCTAGAGCGCGGCTGTCATGACATGAGTCACGTTCCGTGTGCCAGGCAGAGCAACTGGGCGCTCTCGGATGAGGACATGAAGAGTCAGTGCGTGAAACACACTCCGGGAGGAGTGGCGATGAATGGGCAGGCCTAGTTTCTAGGTCACTACTTAAAAGTATGTTTAAATTATTCTTGTGAGCGAGAGAGAGAAATATTCCGTAAAAGTAATTCTACTCTAAAATGATGATGAAATTGATAAAAAAAAATCTAGAGACTCTTGTGTGGTATAAAATGTAAGGAATGTAAGTGAGTTTAAGGACATTGTGTTTAACTAATGTGAGATGTACATCAGGAATCATACTCACCTTTCTTTCGCGGAACTGATAATTGAAGAGGGAGGGCGGAAGTGGAGAGATGATTGATAGGAAAAAGAAACCAATTCAGTGTAAGATTGATGATAATTATTTTGTATTGTACACTAAATAGTTGGTAGAGAATAAGTGATCTGCTGATCACACTTGACAATTTCAACTCTTGTAAATAGTAATTCTAATAAAGTGTAATTGTCTATTAAGTAAATTGATAATTGAATTAAAGAGGAGAATAGAAATGAATGCTTTTTATTTTAAACGGCTGAATTAAACCTCATTAATCGTCTTGCAAAATTGACTTTTTTCCATTTATTTTCCAAGCAATCCAGTTAGATTGAATTATCCACGTCCTTGGGTATGTCCGGTTCTCGATCTCTGATCATCTGCAGGACATTTTTCTGCACCTCTTGAATGATGTTGATTAGCGCTCCGAAATTGTGAAATACTTCCCAAAATCATAGTTCTTACTGTAACTCGTTTCACAAACGATATTGTAATCGAGAAATATTTATTTGCTGCGAAATGTGAATCTCTAAATTGTCTTCAACGAAGGCTTTTTAGGCTCGCGTCCGGAGATCTCCATGTGGTGAATTTCTCATGCGGCGTTCCATATCAATGCCCACATTTATCCAAGACACGTTTAGAAATTTCCCGCGCTTTTTAACTCGTCTTCAAATCTTACGGCTTTTTCCCGAAACAAATGCAGCGTATTTTCTATACATTTTTGAACAGTATGAATTTCAAATTGGACACAAATTCTTTGACGAGACTTTATTAAAAAAAAAGATATCTACTGAAATAATAAAAAATTTCACTCGTATCTTGGATTTGGTGTGAGCTGTTCTTGAAAAGGAAAATAATATTAAATATTGTTGGAAGGAAATTTATAATGAGAGATGAAACAGGCAGTATTTTAACACTAAAAAATATTAGACCGACTATTCATAAGAGAAATATAGTTGGAGGTTCAAAACAAATATATTATCACTCGCGGTTCTTTTGAGTGTCCATCTGATGAGTCTTATTGAGTCCTCAAAATCTTTAGAGAAATGTAAAAATAATAAATCGACTCCAAAGAAGCGATTAATAAACCCCAAAAATGAAATGTAAAAGAGAAGGAATATTAAAATTAATGGAGTGTTCAGCCTAGGGTTAAGTCTATCCTACATAAAGCGTGTTTATTGGAAATTGTGAATTTCGTCAAGTCAGTCGCGTGTCATTTTGCATAACTTGTCTCGACATTCAATATGCTGACTTTATTACCATCACATTTCACTCCACGCGCTGCAAGTGAAGAAGTGCAAAATCAACATAATTATAGTGGCACTTTCAGGTGTCTCGCAGTGTGATTGTTGCGTGAAGGCCCACAAAAGCCCTCCTGATCGCGATCTAAGTCCAAATGCCTCAATTTCGCATGCTTCGAGAAATGAGTGATGACGGCGTTTTTTCGCGAAGAAATTGCGCGATGCTCCGGGGCGCAGAAGAGGTGGGAATCCGAGTGGCGACAGTGAAGAATGTCCAAGGTTGCCGGAAAGCCTGGGATTAGGGAGATAAATGGCCTGTAATGCTGCGGCGGCAAATCGATTTGGGGAGTCGCGTGGAATGTCACGAGGTGGGAAAAGGAGAGTTTCTGCGATTGCCGGCGATATGGTGTGTAATTTAATTGGTTATTTATATTTCAAGTGCCACGGAAAATGCCTCTCACTGCGGCTCCTCTGGAAGCACGCAGCACACGCGCGTTCACTTTCCTTGTGGCCGTTGATGGCAATAATTGGATATTGCTTAGCAATTTTACATACAATTCCCCTTGGATAATTTATATGTTCGGCCGTCTTGCGCCCTCCCACGTCCCCGGCCGTCGGAGTGCGCAGCGATAAATCTGCGGGACGGAGGAATTGATTAATTCAATTGCGCGCTGAGGAAAATTGCGCGCGCGCGGGTTCGTTGCTTCGCGACGCATTGAAGTCTTTCGTGTATCCTATCGCAGATGGAATTTCAGGTGGGTTTTCTCCTCAATAAAAATTCCTCAGCATTTTGCCGCAAATATCCGAAAACCCGAAAAGTCCACCCTGAAATTGAATGAATCACTTTCATGTCCTCGTCGCGAAGAAATTCCGTGCATTGCATTGCCTCTGCTTGAGTCTCGCGGAAATTCCTCAGTGTCTCGAAAGTTGTTCATCGCCAGCAATTTATCCAATGAGCATGATCGTAAAATTACCCAGATGATGCACCCCAAACCAATTTACTCATATTGTGCGCTCCACTCGCGAGAGATTTATAAAATCCCCGTGCGAATTATCTTGTAATTCTTGCCCAACGGTCGCAAAGAAAAATCGCGCACAAAAGAGAGGTGAATTTAATCAAGGCTTCTCTTGCCTCTCGTGATACTTTCCTTATCACCCACAAATCAAGCCGAGAAAGAGGCTTCCTCGGGCCATGGAGGGCACCATTTTGGACAATGAAGGAGGAAGTTTAGTGTAATTGTTCTCTGAGGGTGTTGCATTCCGCATCGATTGCAGTCCCTGCAGAAGCATCAGCACAAGAGTTTTACGACTTGGTCAGCTGCAGATTAAACGAGCTGACAGTGACTTTCTGCCCAATTTGCAGTGAATGTAATTGGAATAATGAAGCTGTAAAATTTACCTTAGACATCGCTGTAAGCTGACGCTTGTACGGCTTCTCCAAATCAATTCACGAATGGCTCAAGATCCAAACTCTAGAAACTCATTAAAATTCAACAGATTGAAACTGTTTCTCATCGAGAATCAATGGTCCAGGTTCGGAGACACATGTCAAAAGTCCCACAATATCAGTTGATTAATTGAGGAAACTTGCGGATTTCTCCGAATGGGAAGAAGGAATCCTCGGAGGACATCACTGTGTAAATCTTTGGGGTATTTCTGCTGAAAAAATGCCCTCGAGAGACTGATTGAGAGTGCAAAGAAAAGGGATGAAAGAGTGTCGATTTATCAGATTTTTGGTGGGCTCTTTTTTCCCCTCTCGGCAGAGTCGCATTCACGGTCTTTTGTCTAAGGCTCTCGTGATAAATTTATGATGGTCACGAAAATGATTTATTCCTCGGCCTCTCAAACGCGATATCTAGTGTCACAATCATCATCAAGGCAGGTAAAACAATAAAACTGTGCTGCCTCTCTCTCGCGTGGTTCACGGGGGACGACAAGAAATAAATCAGTTGCTGTGTCTTATCCAATGCTCATATCGGAGAGCGACTCAAAACCGAACCATAAAGAGAGACGGAGAAGCTTTTTGGCACTTGTAAATTGTTCTCCTTCTCTCCCGTGACCATTCTTGGGGCCTCGTCTTGGCTTCTTTTGAAAATCCACTCGCGTCGCTTTCAATTCACTCCGCCAAGAACTTCTTCTCTCCGCTCTTTGCTGATCCGATTCATCCGAATAAAGTATGTCTAAAGTTAGCCACCGCATACATTTGTATCCATTTAAGTGTGCAGTTGATTTGTCTTCGCCGCCGCACTCGCGCTCATCGCGGACTCAGAGGCACACCTGAACGCCCCTGGGGCGATTCAGAGCCCCCGAGCATTTGCAGTGCAAAACCAGCTCAATAGAGCAAATTATTTGATCCTTCGACGGGATAGTCGGAATTTTTATAATACTTGAAAGTGAGTTTGAAATTATAGAGAAACCACGCCCACTCGAATGCTCCGCCCATGCCACAATTTAAGGATTCTTTCCCACTCGTAAGCCCCTTATTTGCCTCAAGATTCATAATAAGTAAATAGGTTTAATAAACACACATGGATAATTCTTGCAACAAGAAACTCATCGTCAATCTCGACTGGGGAATCCAAATGCCGTCAACCAATTTTCCCTGTGAGTGCCAGTCGATTGCCGAAGTGTTAATGACCACGGCGGACTTCAATGAGGCTCGCGGCCATTCAATTTCACCCCTGTTTAATCCTACGGGAGACTCAAGTGTGAATTGGCGGAAATGCTACAGCCGAGATCGGGCCCGAGACTGTCGAGTGTCAATATTTGGTTTCTTGGGGCCACCTTGAAACTCGATGCTGCTCTTCTTTGTCCTCCTCCTCGGCATCTTCTTCATCTGAGGTGCGGAGAGAGAGAGTGTTCGTGGCATTTTTTCAGGCTGCGCGGCAGCGAGATATGAATTTCGTTCGCGTCTCGCGGAGTCATATAGAGGCCGTGAGAACGTTCCGCGATAGCGAGTTCCCAGGCTCGTGCTTGGCAGTGGGAATGAGCGACTCTATGCTTGTTTGGAGCGCGAATTGGAGGAGTGGAGGCTGCTCTGGCGGTGGCAGCAGCTCAAATGAGGCGCGCTTCGCTTTATTGGCTGTGGCCACGCTCTCCGTTTCACCTTTGTGTTGTGCCCACAAAACGTGTTCGCGTTCCAATCCACAATGTTGTCTGTGGCTTCGAATGGAGAGTCTTCGACCTCCTCCTGTTCGCCACCTCCGCACCTTATTTAGATAGTTCAACGCGCGCACCGCGCATCTCATGTACGAGAGACAGACGCAGGTACACACACGTGGGCCTCCGACCGGCCCAAGGCAGCTCCCCAATGAGCCACGCGCGAGGATCCGGCCAATTTGCAAATCCAAGGCTGAGAACAGTTGCGGATTTCGAGCTTAAGCCCAATTATGAGAGGCACAATGACGACTCTGTGTCAACAGAATGGGTATCGCATCATCTCCACACAAATTCATGGCACGGATTTAAGACTGTTTGCAGGGTGAATCATTCGCATTTTTGGAATTTTCATGCTCGAGATGAGAACTTTTCTGACTCTTGTAGAAGTGTAACACGGGAAAACTCCGCCCATTTCAATGCTCTACTCGATCACAAGTTCATTGAAGTTGAGTCTGAAAGTCTAAAAATCCTGCAAAATGAGGGTTATCCAGAGAAGGACAAATCAAAGAATTTCAGAAAATAGAGTGAAAAAATGGGTGACTATTCAAACCTCATCTGTTTAATACCGAATTAATCGAGAAAGCGCAGCTCGACATAAAATACCAAAACAGGTGTCTATCAATGTCCACTCTATTCTCACCTTTTGAAATAACTTCACATTTAGCCGCTTTTGGACGACTGTTTAATTACTATCAATATTTATGAGACACCCTAGCGCTGCTCCCGAAATCGATCAGTTCCTCAATTTCTCCTTCACTTCTCCAATGATGATGCGGAGGTGAAAGAAGAGCCCACGATATTTCTCAAGAAAGGAAAGACAGAGAGTAACAATTAAAATTCTAGCGAGATAAAGTCTGATTCACCTACTTTTTTC